TTTCCTGGTGAGCTAACTGACGATCCCAGCTCAATTACCATCACCTTGGTGATGACTCATCTACCTGTGCTGCCCAGACCTGTCCTCTGAGCTTGAGACACATCCCTACCTGCCCAAAGGGATGTCTAGGCACCTCAAACGTAGGAAAGCCCCTCAGACTCACATCTCCAGTGTCCCTTATCTTAGAAAACACCACGCTCATCCATCATTCAAAAACACTTATTTAATGATGTCAGTTTCTGTTTAAAATCATCTGATGGCTTCTTATTGCCAGTAGGATCAAGTCTAAATTCCTTAAGGACACTTACAAAACCCCACGGGACCTGTACCCTCCCTGCTGACATCTCTCACTCTTGCCATGCTGAACTTCCTCCAGTTCCGGGATGCTCAGCTCTTTGCCTCAGAGCCTTCGCCAAAGCAGTTACCCCTTCTGGCAAGGACCACCCCTTCACACCCTCGCTCCCTTTCCTGTAACTCCCACCTCTCCTGCGGTCAGAGCACAACTGGGGCTTTCTCAGAGCCACCTTTCCTGACTTCCGAACCAGTCCAGATCCCCCGCTATGTGATCCAGAGCATCCTGAAGGGCTCCCCCAGAATGCAAGCCTGACACGGAGTCACACTCAGGAAACATCTGCTGACTGAAGAAAAGAAAGCAGGGGAGAGACAACCTGAGACACCAAGCGGTGCTGGCTTGGTGCTGGCTTGGTGCTGGCTTGCCACTCGGCGGGGGGAAGAGAACCCTCCCCCGGATCTTAGCAAGTCTCTGCAGAAGTCCGTGACACCCACATGAGTCTGTTATGCCGACTCCTGAGAGGAGAGGAGCGGCTCTGGCCGCGTGGCTGCAATGCGTGGCACCAAGTGACACACAGGACAGGGACTTACTTCAGTAAGCGAATTGCATGGCTGAAGCCGTCCCCTTCCATTTGCACTCCTTGATGGGGAATCTCCAGATTGGACAGCTAGGAGGAGAAAAGCACAGTTATATCAGACCAGCAACTTTACAAGGGAAACTACCTTCTCTAAATCCTCCTGCTTATTCTCGTGGCATCTTTCCTAGGGCCACTCTTTCTAAAGTTACGACATATGAGGCACGAGCATTGTCTGCATCATTTCATTTTCTGGGAACTACATTTAAGTCCAGTGAAACTCAAAGATGACCCAGAGCTTCTAGTTAAAAGACACCTCCATAGGTGATAAATCTTCACAATTCGGGAGACCGACCTCATTTGTGTAGTGAACCAGAAGCAATCCATAATCTATTCTGGTGGTTCCAAATGACTCAACTGTAAAATAAGATTGGTCTACCGGTGTAATTCAATTATACTCAATTATATTCATTTGAAACACTGTTTGAATGATAGGCGTATCTCACTTCTAATCACAATTATTTTTTTAGTCCAGAACCTTTCTGGAATACATTTTTATTTTTAACAAACTATTTCCTGTAGAGCCAGTGAAGGAAAGAGTTCCCAGTGGGAGGGCTCAGAAAGTGAGGTATAAAAATGATGCGGCACTCCAGGTTATTTAGGTGTGCCAGAAGGAATGCTTGCCTTCGGCAGAGGGTCCCAGGTCTTCCACGGCAGACTATTTATACTGGCCTTGGTCCCGAAAGGATTTAAGGCAGCCCTGAGGATCTGACTGAACCCTGGGCTTCTGGCCTGGGAAGGGCAAAGGTTTAGAAAAAGAACCCCTGATCAAACAGGCAGTAGGAGTTCAGACTCAAAAGGAATCGAAGGGTGAAGGGCTCAAAAACTGTTGCCTTTATTCTATGGATCAGAGAAATAAATAGCCCGGGTAAGATTAGATTTCGTTATTCACATCTCAGTAGAAATGGCTTTAAGCAGAAAATGTGCTGGCTTTGGTCTTTAACGTGTCGTTTTCGTTGAGAGAAGAAAAGTAGGCAAGGTTTTTAAGAGCTTGATTGAGTTGCCAAGAGCTCACGTCTTATGTGTGTAACAGGTATGGGAATGAAGAGAAGGGGACAGAGAGGGCATGTGTCTATAGGTGTTAGTCCATGTGGCACTACAAAGACACATTTCTGTGATTTCTAGCCTGTGGGTGGGGAGGGTTGGGTCGAGACCAGGCAGGAAAAGAGAAAACAATTGCATTACTTTGCCCTTGGACACCATGCAGCCTCCCTTCCTACTGCAAAGGTAGTACCGCACAGACTTCCATACACTCGAGCCACACAGCACAATGAAAAGGCCGAGAACACAGTCAAGCAGCCAGGAAGCCTGGACACGGTCTGTGCAGTCTAGGAGCTGTGGCCAGTACCTAGAAAAATATTCCTCAAGCTCACAGCCCTAGCAGCCGGGACACTGAGGACAGGAGGGTCTATTTGAGGTACCTGTTTCTGCGCTTGGCTTTCTCAGGGCTAGTATGCTCTTCACAATGGCCCAGCGGATGCCCACCTTTAGATCCAAAGCTCTGTGAAGCAGGGGTCGGGTGTAACAGTTCGTGGCCAAACCCAGCCCACTGCCTCTTTTTCTAAATAAGTGTTACTTGACGATAGCCATGCTCATTTTTTAAAAAATATCAACCATGGCTGCTTCACACTACACAGATTGGAGCAGCTACGGTATGAGACCATATGACCCACACACCTATTTACTATCTGGCCCTTTCCCAAAAAGGCTTGCCAATCCCTGCTCTAAAGCATGAGCATGTTTTCAGAAAGTCTTCCTGAGACTGTCATCACCAGTGCAACCGAAACAATCCACTTCCGCATTTCCAAATCTCTTCCTTCACAATGATTCCCAGAGCAAAGGAGTCTCACAAAAAGTAAAACTTAAACCAGAGCGAAATAATTTAGGATGTAAGGGTTGCTGATCCTTGTCTAAAGCCCTGTATGAAAAGTACAGATTCTGGTTCTAGCTGGTTTGGCTCGGTGGATAGAACGTAGGCCTGCGGACTGAAAGATCCCAGGTTCGATTCCAGTCAAGGGCACATGCCTGGGTTGCAGGCTCGATCCCCAGTGGGAGATGTCCAGGAGGCAGCCGATCAATGATTCTCTCTCGTCACTGATGTTTCTCTCTCTCTTCCTCTCTGAAATCAATAAAAATATATTTTTTTAAAAAAAGTACAGATTCTGTCTGTCCCTTCCCCTTTTACTTCCATGTTTGGGGGCCATGCTGGATTATCACAACTGTGTATTCTTGAAAAACATGAATTCTGCGTAAGTCTATGCCTCTTCTGTGTGACAAAAGTAAATTCAGTTTAAGATTCTTTCTGACCTGCTTCTCAGAAAGGAACCCAATTTTGTTACTGTGTAAGCAGTATGTATAGCTCATCAACTCAAAAATAAGCCACCCCTTTATCAATTAGCCATATCTAACAGTTAAATAATGCTGCTACAAAGGGATATACGAGATGTTAATTCTCAAAAGCTGTCCTTTTGTTTTAAAACTGAAAAGAATTTACTTTCCATTTCCACAAAGAGCAGAAGGCACACAATTTGTAATGAGAGAGATGAAATAATTTAAGTTGTTTTACTTGTATGATTTCAACCCCACCAAGATGACAATCATTCTGATTCTAATGGAATCCATGGAGCTTTGGCAAAGCATTTTAAAAACTGCTTTCATTTAGAGCGCCCAAAATTGTTACAAACTTACCTCTAACCGAAGTCCTACAAAGGGCATATTTGTATCACACACAGCTACAAAGTGAGCTAGGATTTTATTGAAGGCACACATTTCTCCTGATCGTTTGGTTTTCTTAGGTTCTAGTGGACATGTATCATCAGACAACTAGAATATATATAAAAAACAGAAAAAAGTACATATGATACAATTAGTTAAGGCAGTTAAACAACGATAAAGCTCAAGGTTAAGTAAAAATCTTAGTCATTCAGCAAATATTTATTGGGCAAATACTGGCCTACACACGAGAAATTTAGCAGTAAATATTGTGTATTTAACAAGTTCTCTTGTGGAAAATGGTGTATAGTTAATTATTAATTAAAAGAGAAGCATTTCCAAGAAAATGTAGACAATTATTACTTAAATCATATTGCTACCTCGTCTTTTAAAAACTGCATCTAATTCTTTCCCATATTAAAAACAGGCTAAGACTACAATGAAGTGAATGTACACAAATTCTGTGCTTATTTGCACATGTGAGCATACCTTGCGCTTGGTACCGGTTCTAGGCTGTTTCCCGGTTTTTGTCCGTAAAATCAATTCCTGGATGTTGTCCTTGAACTGCTGCAGCAGGAGTGCCATGACAGGGCCGTCGTCCCGCTCCGCAGTGCTCACAGACAGGAAGTAGTACTTGTATGACAGCTGTGTGGGTTTATTGGGCACCTCCAACATCTCTACAACCTAAAAAGACCCAAATAAAAAATGAAACTCAGAGAAATAATAGGTGTTGGATATTTTCCTCCTTATATCAAGTAGGGCTTAGAATGATAAATCTAATGATCTATTATTTTATTTAAACAAGACAAATTAATCGTGATGTCAAAAAAAGCATTCCTACCCAGTAAGTAATTTATTTTCTAAAAAATTGATCAGACTAAAGAACAATAATAGTAAAAACCTTAAACTACAGCAAATGGGACATTTAGACTATTTTCATTAGATGTTCTTGATATTCCTGCCTTAGCTTACAAATTGAAAAAAAAAGTTATGCTTAAGTCCAGCAGCTCTGCTAGATTTTTCTACAATGTTACCTATTTCAACTTGCCCTGCTGTCTCCCTTAACCATTAAAACATCCTAAGAATTCCACTATTATGGCAGAAAAAAAAGGACAACTATCTCTCATACTTGGAAGCATAGAAAAATGAACCCCGACATTTCAACAGAAAAACGTAGTCACTGAGAGGATAATGACAACAATATCACCAACAAGATGATAGCGAGCTTGCTATGCGCCATGCACTGCCCTAACTACTTGACAGGTGCCAACATATTTAATCCTCCTAATAAGTCAGTGAAATCAAATTATCTTCATTTTCCTGATAAGGAAACTGAGGCACTAGAGTTAGGTTACTTGCCCAAGGTCTCAGAGCTAAGAAGCGATGGCCTCATACTTTGATCCCAGAAGTTTGGCTCTAGAGACCTTGTTCTTACTCACCGTACCAACTTACTATTTTCAAGGTCTACCTGAAATTTAAGAAAAGTCTCCTAAATACTTTAGTAAGAGAAATAAATGCCCTTAGGCAAAGCTCTTGACCAACACTTTCCTATCTCTCATCCTACCTCTCCCCTCCCCTCCCCAAATATTCTCTTCAGGATATTGGCCAACACCTAAGCATCACACTGATACACTTCACCAAAGAAGATATAGGGATGGCAATAAGCATATGAAAAGATATTAAACCTCATCAGTCATGAGGGCAGTGTAAATTAAGACTACAGTAAGATGCCATTACATAACAGAATGGCCAATTTGAAAAAAATTATAATATCCAGTGCTGGCAAGAGTGTGGAGCAATTGGAACTCCCATGTGTTGATGGCAAGAATGTAGAATGGTCTGGCCATGTTAGGAAAGTTTGGCAGTTTCTTATAAAGCTAAACACTTACCATATGACCCAACAATCCCACTCCTAGTTACTTATACAAATGAAACAAAAATTCAAGTTCACAAAAAACCTATATGCAAATGCTTATAGCAGTTTTTCTGATAATTATCCCAAACTGGAAACAACCCAGATTCTTTCTACTGGAGACTGGTTAAACAAACTGTGGCACACGTATCCCATGGAATACTCCTCAGCTATAAAAGGGGTGAACTATGATACATACAACAATAAGAATCTTACTATGCACTGAAAGGTACATGCAACCAATAAAGTGGATATATATGCCTTCAGACAATTAAAGATTAGAAAATAAAGCTTCTTCAGCCAACCCATATTAAAAGGCTGCATTATGCAAGTCAACATTTGATTAAAACCAAATAAATTTATCTGACACCAACATCTCCAAACCCTCCCAGTAGCTGCATTCAATTTTTTTCTTCTTATACAAAGATGTCTCGTTCCAAGCAGAAATTAGGCCTCACCATAGGAAAGATCCCAGGATGAGAAATGGGGGTATCTATACTAATAAAAACGTATAAGTAGACCGGACAGCCGACCTTCAGGACAAAGCCGGGGCTGCAAGGGCCCAGGCAAGCCTCCGTGGCTGCGAGGGCCGAGTCCCTTGCACAAATTTCGTGCATCAGGCCTCTAGTATCTTATATTCCCCAAGCCTGCCTGCACATTATGTAATTTCTTAGAGAGAATTTTCCTCTCTCCCAACCCTACCCTCCTGGGTTGAGAATCACTATACAAAAGTCAGTTATCCAATAAAATATATTTGCAAATGAAATTAAACAATAAATCATTCAAGATACTGACAGAATTACTGAACTGGATCACCTTTGCATACTTACAATGTAGTATTGTGGAAGGCGAGTGAGTTTAATGAACAGCTTATTCTTAGAAAGTTTTCCAATAGGATGAGTTGAGTAATTGGACAGCTGCAATGTTTCAGTGCTTATTGTAGGCAGATGTTTTATAGATTGTTTGCAACGCTGTTGTCCAAGCCAAAACCTTAATTTAAAAAACGTAATCCACATCATAAAATCATAGAATTTTCTGATTAACATTATGCTAAGTGAAAGAAGCCAGTCCTAAACAACCACAGACTTTACGGCTGCATTTATATGAAATGGCCAGAAAAGGAAAATCTACAGAAATGAAAAGTAGGCTCATACTTGCCTGTAAATGAGCACCTTCATGGTAATAAAAAATGTTCTCAAACTGGATTGTGGCTATGGTTGTATGCCTCAGTAAATTTACTACAAGTCACTGAATTGCACACTTAAAATGGGTGAATTTTATGATAAGCAAATTATATTTAAAAAAAATTAATGTTCCATGATAAATTAGTGACGAACTGGTTATTCATCAAAGATCATTTGAGAAACAGTATAATAACTGACAATGAGAGGATTTTTTTTTTAATCGTCACCTGAGCTTCAGGGATTGAACCCACAACCTAGGTATGTGCCGTGACCCGGAATCAAACCTGCAATCTTTTGGTGCCCAGGATGATGCTCCAACCAACTAAGCCACCTGACTAGGGCCAGGGGACCTTTCTTATAATTACGTGAGTTTAAGGCTTTTGGGACTTAGCTTTCTGGTTTTAGTTATATTTCTGCAGGCTGGAACTGCCAGATAACCTTAAGTTATGCAAACTGTGAATTATTGAGTATTTAAGTATTTAAACCTTGCTTGTTTAGCCAAAATGCACACACAAAAAAATGATGCTAAACCACAAAAATTTTAGAAATTGTTACCCAGAGTAATGACTCATTTTTTCACATACAAACTAAACAGCCGTTCAAAAGGCTCATGTAAAAAAAAAAAGGGTAATGTGATATCATCTCTCTATTGGCATTTAAAATCATGTCCTATTAATGAGAAAAATGACTTGATATCAAAATGTTTGAATTTTTACCAACTAAAACTTCCAAAGGGGAAGAGGTAGGCTAGAAGATCACAAAAGCAATAGACCCACCCCTTCTCCGTTTGCTCGCTTTCCCCTTGATCGCTAAAATTTATGTTTCTCTCTTGGAATTTTTGTTGATTTATTAATTTTAAGAGAGTTTGTTAGAGTTGCTATAATGGTACCTTTGTGGACTAGAGTGGTAATGAAACCTTCAAGGATTATCTCTAGCTCCATTTTCAATTTTATTTAGTTTCACAGTATGAAGCATTCACAGGCTTTTGAGACAAATTGAACACTATCGGAGAAGCAGAAATGATTATTTTGAAAGTGTCAGCTGGTAGAGTCATACCATGACGATTCTCCTGGATAAGAACAAATAAGACACTACTGCAGAGAACACTCGCTACAATAAAATTCCTTGGGTAGCGCACTTGTGCAAGAGAAAATGTGGCAAGGAATGAAAGTTGAGTGTCATGCCCTTCATACCTACATTTGCTCTCGAGGGGAATATGATATGAAGCACTGCCATCCTGGACATATTCCAAGAGAATTCAGATTCGACCAGTAAGTACTAAAAGGTGTTCAAGCTTCATGTCATAAACATTAAGGACCGATCAAGAGCAATAATGGAGCCCGGCCGGTGTGGCTCAGTGGTTGAGCGTCCACCCATGAACCAGGAGGTTATGGTTCGATTCTTGGTCAGGACACAAGCCCAGGTTGCGGACTTGATCCCCAGTGGAGGGGGGTGCAGGAGGCAGCCGATCTATGATTCTCACTTATCAATGGTGCTTCTATCTCTCTCTCCGTCTCTCTTTTTCTCTGAAATAAAAAAATATATTTTTTGAAAAAAGGCAATGATGGAGAAAATGTATCCATTTGCTCTAGCCAGTTTTGCTCAGTGGGTAGAACATCAGCCTGCGGAATGAAGGGTCCAGGGTTTGATTCTGGACAAGGGCACGTGCCCAGGTTTCGGGTTCGATCCTCAGTGCAGGGCGTGTAGGAGGCAGCCGATCAATGATTCTCTCTCATCATTGATGTTTCTATCTCTCTTCCCCTCTCCCTTCCTCTCTGAAATCAATAAAAAACATATTTTTTAAAAATGTTTCCATTTTTAGTATTGAGCTAAATAATTAAGCTTACTTAAGTTGTTGAACCCAAGGAACAATCCGTTTCATATCATCATTCACAGACTTCTCCATGTCATCCAAAGTGGCCTGATCTAAAAAATAAAGCATTTTTATTAATTGCTTGTACAAGACACAATATATCTAGATAGCCCAAAACTTAAATGAAATTATTATTTTAGGCAGAAAGGAGTGTTACTTTTGAGTTAGAAAAAAAACCTAAACTAAATGCATCATTAGGCATAAATTAACCTAAATTGTTTTCCCTCTTTAACATTTAGAGAGAGTTATAGTTAAGACAACTAATTAATAGCAAATGTATACTTGCAACAAGAATAAGTAACAAATACATGAATTAATTCTTTGCCTATATTTTAATTCCCAAAATTCTTATGTCAATTGATATTTTTAACTTATATGTATTGAAAGCTCTTAATATTATTAGACGAAGATCCTTAAAAATTAGAACTATAAATTTCCATTATAATACTTATTAAACACAAATGGTCTCTGGCATAAACAAGAGCTGCTGGCTGAAGATTAGCATGCTAAATGTCACTTAGAATTTTTAATGACACTAGATAATGCTAATAATAGAATGTTGAGCAAAAAGCTAAATATAAAATGATTTCAACTAAAGAAAAAAATACAGGAAAAAGAAAAAGAACACTGCTATGGATTGAACAGTATTCCCCTACCTGCCCGTGATTGAAGGCAGGGCCTTCAGGAAATAACTAGGCTCAGTTAAGGTTGGGGGCTTCATGATGGGTTTAGTGCCCTTATAAGAAAGGCCAGAGAGCTTGCTCTCTCCCTCTTCCTGCCACGTGAGGACAAGTGAGAAGGCCAGAGTCTGCAAGCCAGGAAGAAAGCCCTGACCATAACTCAACCGTGCTGGCCGCCTGCTTTCAGACTGTCAACCTCCAGAACTGTGAGAAAATACATTTCTGTTGTTTAAGCCGCCCACTCTGGTTCTTTGTTATGGCAGCCTGAGATGTGTAACATAAGCACTGATATCCTAAAATAACGAGGATTGCCAAGAGAAACTTTTTTACTGCTTCTCTCATTTTTACATGTTTAGGTTTTTACTTATGAGAATGCACTGTGTTAATAATCAAAAAAACAGTTAAAGTTTTTAAGAACAAACAACAATTGCCTGGTTGGTTTGGAAGCATAGTTAAAAGGTAATTCATAAATGTGTCACTTACCATTTAGCCATCACAAATGTGATGTGATTCAAAGTAATGCGGCCAGTACTCCACGAGCAGCTTGTACAAAAATCTATCTTTATCGCCATACAGCATAACTAGAAAACCTTTTATTTTCAGCAATCTATGTAGCTTAATGTTAATTTCAAATGGCAAATGTGCTAATATACTCAAGAGCAATGTCCCATGAGCAATACAAAAACACTAAGTTCGTAGTATTTCACCATTTTAGAACACCAACTCAGTAACAGAACATGTAAGAAATCAAACTTTAATTTCTACTGTATTTAAGCCAGAAAAAAATATTTTGCTCCAGGATTCTGTACCCCAAGTTATCTTAGATGTTTATAGCCATGAACGACAGAGAATCCCTTGTGGCCATCTTCATGTCACCCAAGTATTAGTGGTAAAATCGTCACATCTAAAACACATCAGCCATCAACATTATGACTTTTACGAAAGAGAAGCAACATGAATGTACTTCATATTGGGAAGTTTAACTTCCGGTACAAGAAAATCCAAAGTGGAGCTAAAATGGGCCCCAAGGAACAGATGTCAGCGAGTTATTCTTTCCATATCTACTACTCTCTACGCTGCTCATGCCACTCTTCTCAATATCTAGTGGCAGAAATTTTTAATTTTGCTTTTGTTAAAAATATTTTTCCTTACATTGAATGACTATATCATTTACTAACTTACCAAGTCCATAAAGCATCAATTGGAACATTCCAGAATGCAAATCCACAAAAATGTGTAGACACTCCGAATTACCACAGGGCTCCAAGATGGGAACAACGAGAGCTGGAAGTGCAGTCTCTATGGAAGCTGAACAGTTAAGAATTAAAAATTATATTTCTATCTGAGCATTTCTAAAAGAAAAAAGTATATCTCAGAGACTAAAAACAAGTCAATGAAACAATCCTGACTGTTAGAAGAAAAACGTGATTTTTGCAAAATTGGAATTTATGAAGGCAATTAGGGTCTCAAAAGGAAGAACGTAATCTTCAACGTGGCGTGAAACAAATATGCCCAACTCAAATGCCATCGCAAAGAAGTCCCAAGGTGCCTTAAAAAACATTAAAATAGCTAGGGAAAATTTAACCCCATCCGTGAGCTGGGTCCTAGTTTTACTTCCACTTAGTAATGACCGATAAGTTAATTTTTAAGGATTTTCTTTGATATAGTGGGAAGCAAATCAGTTTGGGAAATCGAAGTTTCATCTATGGCATGAATATTCTCAATGCCATTCTTCATAAAGAAAGGCTTTGTGGCAATTAGGGCCCATGTGCTTAAAAAAAACAACACATAACACATGAGAATTATTGAACATTACTGATCATACAGGAAAATTTTTTTCATTACTTATGTACCTCATTTTCAAGTTACAGATAAAATAAGAACATAGGCAACTTCTCTACACACACATCCCCAAAGCTGCCCATGTACTTGTTCTAGAGTTTGTCAGTGTTTCTACCAGGCCCAGGGAACTTTCCCCTTCAGACCACAAGCTGGCAGAAGAGAATAAGAAAGGAGCAGAGCACTGAGCACACCGCGTGCTGATCAGATCAGGAGCTGGGAAAGGAATATGCTCTCTGGCCCCACCTTCCTCTAAGGCTACCACACAGAAGAAAGGCAGAGTGAGGAGAGCGGAAATGGAGGCCCAGCCTTTCATCGGGTGTGGCTTCTCGGTGCTATTCTGTTAAACAAGGACAGCATCTTGCTGTGGGTCCTTAGGAGGAAGAAGTGACAAGTTTGCAAAGGTGATTTAAAAAGCAAAGTGCTTAACAATGTACATTACCTTTATGAATCAAAGAGACAAACCAAAACATCTTATTATGAATTAACAATGTACATTACCTTTATGAATCAAAGAGACAAACCAAAACATCTTATTATGAATTAACAATGTACATTACCTTTATGAATCAAAGAGACAAACCAAAACATCTTATTATGAATTAACAATGTACATTACCTTTATGAATCAAAGAGACAAACCAAAACATCTTATTATGAATTAACAATGTACATTACCTTTATGAATCAAAGAGACAAACCAAAACATCTTATTATGAATTTGCAATAATTGAAATGAGTGAAGTTACCATTGGTACTATCTATACAAATGATCAAAAAAATTAATAAAGCAAAAAAAATGGAAAGAGATATAGTCAGATGAAAACAAACTGCTTTGAAGTATGCATGGTACATCTCTGTATACAAATGTTTAACAGCAGATCCAGCAGAACTCTCACCTAAAAACAAACAAAAAAATAGAAAAAACAGAAAAGGCACACACAGGAATTTCTTTACACTATTTTATAATTCAGAAGTGTGACAAATTAGTTCATGTTCTGCTGAAATGACTGTGTTAACATAATAAAAAGTACTTACAGAATTGAAGCAGGGCTGCTGACTTTAAAACTTATCTGCATTGTTTTAATTCCTAATGGGGTAGAGATGTATTCCTTAAAGCAAAAACATTTTTTGAAGCGTACCAATGGAGTAAAACTAGTTTCTGACAACTGGGATAACGATGATAACTTCAATCTAATTATAAAAACCGAGTGTTCTTGAAAAGATAGGGGATCAAAGTAGACTATACAACACAGCCCAAAAGATAGAAAATACTTTGATGTCTATCTCTGAACGTATTTTATGACCACCCATGTCCATAAAATAAAACAGATAAGGCCCGAAGCACTTAAAGGCAGCAGGTGTTAAGTTATCCAAAAATGGAGAAGCCTGTGACTACAATACAGAAGGGAGAATTACAGGCTGCGCCAGATCCCAGGGCTACGCACTACTTTTGCCTGCGGCAGCGATACACACACCTATTTCCTCTTTTGTTCCTCCCTAGCTATTCACTGAGGACAACATGAGGAACGCACCAGCACACAGTAATGTGAAGGGTGAAGACTGAAGACAAGCAACCAGGCACACTTAGGAACGGCTGTGTGCTTCACAGCTTCTGAACTGACCCGGACACCCCAATTCCAGTGCTGACAGAGCACAACCCTAGGGAAGCACCCCAGCTTTCAAGAGGCAGCCAATGCTGCAAATGGGGCCACATGGCAAGCCGCCCTCAGTGCCTCGCGCTGCCTGTTATTAAAGTTCTCTCCAAAGCCCTGCCTACTTTCCCGGAGGCTTTGCCCACCCCTTCCCCCCCTTAAGAAACCATATTGCCACCTGGGCGATACAAAACCCGCCACCTGTGCCTTCTCCTGGCCATCCCTTGAGATGCTCCCCTTTCCGAGCTACTCATGTCCTCAGATCATCCCAGTGAGGCGCTGGAGGAAAAGCCAGCTGACAGAGGGCTGCATAAAGGGATTCCAAGAACAGCCCCTGGTCCCAGCCAAGGACCTGACTAAAGCATGCTGTAAAAAAAGGGATCCAGTAAGACTACATGAGGAGTATAAATGCATGAACATGAATCTAAAAAACAAGGTAAAGCCTTAGCCGGTTTGGCTCAGTGGATAGAGCGTCAGCCTGCGGACTGAAGGGTCCCGGGTTCGATTCCGGTCAAGGGCACATGCCCGGGTTGCGGGCTCGATCCCCAATGTGGGGCGTGCAGGAGGCAGCTGATCCATGATTCTCTCTCATCATGGATGTTTCTATCTCTCTCTCCCTCTCCCTTCCTCTCTGACATCAATATATTAAACACACACACACACACACAACAACAACAACCACCACCACCACACAAGATACAGCATATGTCCCAAGATGGTGGGTCAGCAGGCCCTTTCCTATGGCGGCTCTCATTTCCAGGACTGTCTGATTAAAGTAGGACTGAGTTCCAACCCCATCCGCCACCACCTCCCTCCCCTCTAAAGCTGTTTCCCAAGCCCCTTTCTCTAACACCGAGGACTCCAGACACCTGGGCCTGGAAACCACCCTTTTGCTGGAGTTGTAGAGATTCCGGAAGAGCCTGGACATCCGCTAATTATAAATGAGGAGACTGGGGCCCGAAGACTGTGATCATTCAAGACACGCAGTTGATCTCAGGTCTTCTGGCTACTAACTCAAGTAGTGACATCGCTACCGAATGCTGCCAAAGAAAAATCTTCGTAACTTATTCAAACAGCACTTCCTATGTAACACATACTTACAGTCTATTTTTCAAAGTAATTTAAATATCCCCTGGGCAATCATACTGAGTTTTTTACTTACTAAGTCTGTTTACAGACTATACTAAAGTAAACCAGAGCCTATCACAAGATCACAAACCCCTATTTTCTGCAATCCCAACAAATGACATTTTAGAATTTCTCTATTTTGAAAAACTAGAAATAAGAAAAATTAGAAAAAATTAAGATTGCAAAAAATACTTTAAAAGTTTTCATTATGAACAAAAGGGGCACTTCAACAAGAGTGCCCAGACAATTAAATAGGGAGGAAATCATCTTTTTAACCAAAGTTACTAAGACAACTGCATATCCCCAAACAAAAAACTCAGTTGGACCCCTACCTGAAAGTAAGAACTAAAACTATAAAACTCTTAGAAGAAAACACCAGGGTACATCTGCATGACCTTGGTTAAGTAATGGATTCTTTAGGTTTGACACCAAAAGCACAAGCAACTAAAGAAAAAAATAGACAAAATGGACACTGTCCAAATTAAAAACTTGTGTTACAAACAATACCATTTAGAAAGTGAAAAGATAACTCATGGAATGAAAAAAAATTCTTGCAAATCATGATACATGAAAAGGAACTTACAAAAAGAACTGTTATAACTCAATAATAAAAAGGTAATTAATCTAAGTATAATATGGGCAAAGGATCTGGAGAGACATTTCTCCAAAAAAGATAAGTGAAAAGATGCTCAACAATGATTAGGAAAATGCAAATCAAAACCACTATGAGATACCACTTCATACCCACCAGGATGGCTAGACACAAAGACAGACAATAACAAGTGTCGGTGAGGATGTGGAGAAAACTGGAATCCTCACATGCTACTAGTGCAGTGATGCGAACCTTTTGAGCTCGGCGTGTCAGCATTTTGAAAAACCCTAGCTTAATTCTGGTGCCATGTCACATATAGAAATTTTTTGATCTTTGCAACCATAGGAAAACAAAGACATATTTTTGATATTTATTTTATAGATTTAAATGCCATTTAACAAAGAAAAATCAACCAAAAAAATGAGTTCGCGTGTCACCTCTGACACGTGTGTCATAGGTTCGCCATCACTGTACTAGTGGAATAAAAAAGAGGTGTTAAACATGACAAAAGGTAAAACATAGAGTCACTATATGACCCAGCCATTCCATTCATAGGTACATATATATCCAAGAGAAATGAAAGCATAGGTCCACACAAAAACTTGTACATATTCACAGCAGCATTATTCATTATAGGCAAAAAGGTGGAAACTACCCTCATCAATAATGAACGGATAAACAAATGCGGTATATCTATACAGTAAGTTATTTGACAATAAAAATGAACTACTGAAACATGCCATAAAATGGACAAACCTCAAAAATATTCTGCTAACAGAAATACACAGAAGACCATATATTACAGTTAAGTCCTCATTTAATGTCATCAATAGGTTCTGAGACTTTAAGCAAAACAGCATATAATAAAACCAATTTTACCACAGGCTAATTGATAATAAACAAGAGTTCAGTGCCTATGGCATCTCAGCAACATTTTAACAAAACAACATTGAACAATATGGTGGACCGGCTTATCTGAGGACCTGCTGTATATGATATTACTCTGAAATGTCCTGGAAGGCAATTCTATAGACAGAAATAGATTAGTGGTTGCCAGGGAGCTGGTGGGAGGGGTGAATGGGGGAGTGACTACTAATGAGTACATGGTTTCTTTCAGGGATGATTAAAATGTTCTAAAATTAGATTGTGGTAATGGTTGCACAACTCTTTGAATATATTAAAAAAACACTGAATGAGTGAATTATATCTCAACAAAGCAATGAAAAAAACAAAAAGGGGGGTCCAATGAGAGTTTTAATTATGCTTTCCAATCATAAATTTTAGGTCTGTATTTAGTAACATTGCTTGAGGGATTAAAATGAGGGGGGTGCAACTTACACTACATCTTATAATTAAATTTAAATTATTAAGACTTGAGAAATCTAATGCTAAACCTTGATGGGGTTAAAGGACATACCCCCTCAAAGTAGATGGAACAACTACATTCGCCAGATGCCTGGCACACCCTTCTTTAAGGCCCACATTTGCATTTTTAAGTTGAGCTACCCTTCCTCTTTTAGCTTGTCTTGGATCCTCTTTTTCACCTTCCTTGGAAATTTGTGTTCTAAATACACATTTATTTTCCTGACTTTGTCTTTTCTTCAGGCAGTGTCTTTCTCTACTTCACCAAAGCAGTTCCATTCCAGTGTGACTAGTCTGTACCTAAGAAGCTGCCTTTTTAAGTATAATGGGTTGAGGTGGGCTCTGTGATAATGAAACGCAGTACCTTTGCTACTAGCGCTATGAGGACTTCTTATTTATATGGCACTTCACCAACATCATCTCGCTTAAAGGCTGCTCACTGTGGGTACAAGGCAGCCACAGCCAAAAACAACTGGGGCAGGGATAGTGAATATGCCCATAATGATACTGTGACGCTATATTCCTAAAACGAAAAGTACTTACTTTCTAAATGACTGACTGTCCCCCTAAAGCTCTGAATCTACTAGGTAACTGGAAGATTTTTCACGGTGTGTCTATCTGTATTTCTTATTTTGAACCCTGTTAATGTATTAACAATTCAAAAAATGTTTTAAAAGACAAAGCATACATTCTGCTTCAAAGAGGCCCATTTTATAACTATATTATACACATTTGCAAAGCTACCTTAACCTTAGAAGAAAATCTAAGAGAAATAAAATTCATATTAAGGTGTTAAAATAGCTTCCATTTCAATAGGGAAAAAAAGAGTTTTAAGGAGGGTCAATATGCATACACTTCAAATAAGGCCAAGCTAAACAGAAAGAAAATAAGGGGACAGTTAGGACAAGCTGGGTAGATCATAAGTTAAAATGCAAAAATGTCCAGCCTTCACAACAAAACCTATATATCAGGAAAGAAGTCACACTGACACAGACCCTTCAGAAATAAAAGTGAGTACTAATTTAAACAAAAGAAAGACAAAGATGCCTATTTAAAAGAACCTACAGTTTTCATTGGCATTGTAGCCTCTAAGAATGGTCTTCAGTTCCTGGAGCTTCTGATGCGCTCGTGCACGAACGCTGTCAATCAGGAGTTTTTCTATTGATAAGTGATCGATCTGCATAGACAAGAACAACAGAATCACATGTGCAATTTAAACATTTTTACTTTAAAGCTCGAGTAGATTATTGTGCTTCAAGATATTTCCTTTTAGAATCATAATGATTAAGCACAAACTTAAAGTAAAAAAATAACCATGTAGTACTGGTAGCTTAAAGACTACAGGTTACATTTTGATGAGTATAGATCAAGATACTATATGTATCAGTTATCATAGAGATTAAATGACCTTAAAAACAAAATGATGATCTGATCAAAATTATAAAATATGAAAGAACATCTTTAAAACTATAATATTAGATTTAAAAAAATAACAAATGCAGAAGCATAACAGTCATTTAAAACAAGTTCCATAAAGGGTTCAAGGAACAATTAGGTAATTTAAAGAATTTACACTAAAAGTTTAAGTATAAATGATAAGCTACATTATATTCATTTAATTAAACCAATATTAAAATATATTGAGATATCTACCTTCATGGCTTTTTCTACTAATTTGGAATCAGAAGCTGGCAAAGGAGGGTCATGAAAAATCTGTAAAGGCTTCGAGCCATCATTCTCATCGATTTTAATTGTAACTTTGTGAACAGATGCCGTCCCTGTTTTTCTCCCAAGAATCTGTTGACTAAAGAGAAAAAATATACAATTTTTTTCAACAACGCCTGTTAACTTTTGGGATGAAATAGAGGCAATCCATTGTGTGTCTGAGCCAGAGGCCAGAACATGGCAGGCCCTCACTGTTTGTGGAGGGAATACATTAATATTGGGAAGACAGCTATTCTGTAATCAAACACAATATTTGATTTACTGCATCCAAAAAAAACCCAAAACCAGCCCACAAAAAAACCCACAAACAAAAAAAACCCCAGACACAGAATTTAAAAATAAAACACATGCATACAAACAAATTAAAAAATCCCAAAATAGAACAACCTGTATTCTAAGTGATATCTATTCATCTCCGATTCCTTTACAGAAAATGGGGATCAAGCAAAGTTCGAATAGGAAATTGGGACTGTAAGCAGCTCGATACTAATTTTTCCCGAAACCCTCCCCCAAAAAGATTTTAAAAGGAGCAATTCAAAGTGTAAAACTGTGATAAGCAAGCAGGTTTGTTTTTAAAACAATATCCAATAATCTAAGTCTTTTAGCAATCTGCTTTGAGTCCAGAGTTACCTAACTCTTTAAGAAAAGTCTTAATACAAACAGATAGATGTGTATGTATTTCAAACATGCCACATTCTAAGAAAGCTGTCAATTATGGATGTCCTCTATAGTTTCTAGGATACCATGGGACCTCACTATACAAAATCATATTGCCAGAGACATACAGCTATCAGTATACAGTGCATCATATGTACGAGAGAAAAAGAGAAGCAAAAAGAGCAATTACAGTCAGAGCTGGAACCCACCAGAACCAACTTTACTTACTTCCAAACGGAGAGGGAGAGGCACTTCCCAGGATGATACCTTTCCACCTGCACAAGGTCTCCCCACCGCTCCCGGATTAACATCAGAGTTTGGGAATGTAGCACTTCTAACTGAAGTGACAAGCAAAAAGAATCTGATGGATCTCGTTAAGCAAATATAATACATATCACTACAACAGCCAATGAAGTACAAGCAAACTTCATTTAACAAAAGCTCTAGTCCTAAAAACTGGTTCTGAAAGAAATTTCTGGAATTACAGTTCGCCAATGACTTATCTTAAAAAGTGGTATAATTTGTGGCATAGTTTTAGAAAAATGTATATTTAATTTTGATCCAATATAAACAAACCATTTAGTTGCCCCTAAATTCATCATAGTTTAAAGAATATGGGTAGACCAATATTTTTTCTCCAAATAATACTACTTCTAATTCATCATTTTCTGTTTTTACCCACAAAGTCAACAGCAAATTTACAACTTGATTTACTACCGATTACTATTCTTCACATTGACTAGTTTCCCCAGCCCCATTTCTACCCAACAAAGTGGATGGGGAGAGCTTAGGCTGCTACAGTTCGAGATGAGGGGCAGATGGAAATGTGGAGGTGAGAAGGAGACACAAATTCCTTATAAACATGTGTCTCAAATTCCAGAAGGATACGCAGGCAATTGTACATGTCCTGAAGAGGTTTCTCATCAGCAAAGAGCCTAGATTGTACCAGCTGATGGATAAAGTTGATTTGCATGCTATGAACCAAGGCTCGTCCATCTTCCATTCACAGGAGAAAACAAAGTGGTTAATCAGAAAAGCGTACAGATCATGTCATAGTACCAACTATGGAAGAATATATTAACTAATAATACATTTTTTAAAAAGAATTGAAACTATCTATGGAAACTAGAGAACATTATACTTAGACACCAAAATCTCTAAGGTCAGTAGGCAATTATGATTATCATGAAATCTGCTTCAAATTACAGAATAAATTGCTAAACACATTTATTATTCTGCCAAAATGTTTCAATGACAGAAAAAACTCAAACATTTAAATCAATACTTATGACTTCAATCCAGATTTATGATTTACCTCCTGTTTCCTTATCCTCTACTAGAATTTCTAGCTTGAGCAGACGCCATGGAACTTCAGGATCATCTCCCATTACAGTCAAGGTGGCTTCAAATTCTCCTTCAACTCGAAACTTCACCCGGCCATTTGCTTTTAAAAGAAGAAGAGTAAGTCTACTTTGCTAAAAAAAAGAGAAAAAAGTAAGCAGCTCTTTGCTAACCCAGAACCTTAGTCTTGCTTATAAGAAATTTTAAATAGATTGAATGTTTCTTCACAAATGTTCAAACAATTCAGTGGTTCCCGCATAAGCAGTAGCCAGGTTCTGGGCCATTAAGAAACCAAAGGCAACTCTTCTGGCATCAAGGAACAAAGGTGATCTCACCCACTTGGCAGCGTCAAACACCAGCACTGTATTTCCAGGTAATAAAAGAGAAATGACAGGGCTGACCAGTCACAGATTCAAACACCATCAAAATTGTAGGGCAAAACCTCATAATGATATTTCTTTTAATAAAATCCCAAAAGCTTTAAAAAAATATTTCCAACAAGTCAATTCTTAAAACAAGAGCCTTCAGGTACATACCAACTGTAAGATTCGCTAATTGAGGAGGAAGATCGGTGGTTACAAGCCGATGTCTAAGAATCTGGTTCAGCTGGTGAAGGGTGGCTTGTTTCTCAGTTTTGGTAATTGGGTCTGGAGGAATAATTTTGTCCTTCAAAAAAATTTAAGTGATTTTAAAATAATGTACAAAGAGGCGTAATTTTTAGCTGTGTCTTCTTAACGTAGTATTTTCTTACTTTACCCAACCAAGAGAATCTTAACACTCATTCCTGCCTTCTACATCCAATAATAGTGACCTTTACTCTCATGCATTAGAGTGCCACGTGATTCCACCAGTCACTCAGCTAAGATGGTCATGCAACATGATCTTCTTCCTGCTCTATTTATGAAACCAACTTAATGTCACGAGATGACGTCCACCACTTAGAAGTATAAAATACACTACTACTAAGGCAGTCAAAAACCAGCATAGTAAGCTTTTTAAAACACTTCCCCAAAGCAACCAGCATGCAGTATTTTCATAACAGAAATAGATGTAAGTTACACCTGCATATCTGTTCTCCCTCACAGAAAAAAAAATGATCCACCCATTTTCATAGCTACTCACATTCTGACCCCAATTTATTTAAACAAAACACAATCTTAGTTATACAGGAAAAAAACAAATAAATATTTGTTTTAAAAGTATGAAAGTTTTTGGTGGTCTACTTAATAATATAGTAGATCCAATGCCAAAGCCTTCAGCTTTTAAGAACGGGGTTGGTAGGAGAGAATGTACTTACCCTAATGCAGGTTGGCAGCCGTGGGTAAGACCCAGTGGTCAATACATCAATGGCATATGGGATGGCAAAACTAGGCAGGCGCGCATGCACCAGCGCGTCTCTAGCTAATGAGGCCAAGCGGTCAGCAGTGTCCACAAACAAGATGGCTTGTTGGTCTAAAAAGCTCGAGATCATCTTTAAAGCAAAGGGTAAATGGATTAATTAAGCTTCCTTGGCAACTAGCAACTTTTCACTTCAAATATCACTCATTCATTTCAAAGTAAACTTCAAGGGGAATTAATATAGGTATTTGCTATTACAAAGTATTTCTTCAAAAAATTTTCGTCCAGTGCACCAAAAGGTGGTGCATTCGATCCCTGGTCGGGATGCTATGGGAGGCAGCTGATTGACGTTTCTCTCCCACATCGATGTATCTCTCTCTTCCCTTCCTCTCTCTCTCAAATCAATTAAAAACAAAATATATCCTTGGGTGAGGATCAAAAAAAGAAATTATTAAAAAATAATTTCCCCCAGTATCTTTTTGAAAACAATAATCTTCTATTAATTTAATTCGTTTCTTCATCCTTAACATTCCAGATACACAATTATCACGTTAGAAAACATAAATAGATTAAAATCCTTTTTACTACTCTTACAGACTTCTGGAGCTGGTTGGTGACAAGGAGAAAATTCTGGATGTCCTAAATTAAATTACAGAAGGCCAGAGGGTGGAAGGAAGAGACAAAAGGGGGTCAATCAGTTAGGTGCAGTGCAAAACCAACAAGACTGCTCAGACTCCTCAGTGCAGGTCGGCATTATTAAATTAACTGCCAGGTGGCTATTTCAGAGGTTATCTAGAAAGAGAGAAGAGCCAGGCACCTTGAACCCCAGGAGCCCCCTCTTCTTGTTGACACATGAGCTTTAAATAGTCATGGAATTAGCCCTGCTACGCCTTCTCCCACCCGCTTTGTCTATAGCGAATGTAAAGCCTTTCAGAATGGCTTACATCTCCCCGACCCCCAACTTGCTGTATGAAGCCACTGGCAAAACTCCAGGAGGACGGACATGTCTGTCTTTCCTACCTAGCCATGTTGCTGGTGGTTTAGACTCCATGCCCCAGACAGTCTTCTTCTTCTCCTCCTTTTTTTTGCTAGCAATGGCCTAATAAACCCTTTCTTTTAAAAAGACTTTCAGTTAGCCCTAACCGGTGTTGCTCAGTGGATAGAGCATCAGCCTGCAGACTGAAGGGTCACAGGTTCGATTCCGGTCAAGGACATGTACCTTGATTGCGGGCACATCCCCAGTAGAGAGTGTGCAGGAGGCAGCTGATTGATGTTTCTCTCTCATCAATGTTTCTAACTCTCTATCCCTCTCCTCTCCCCTCTGTAAAAAATCAATAAAATATATTTAAAAAATAAAAAGACTTTCAGTTAAAATTTTTGTTGGTAATGAAGGGGGAACCCCTGGACCCAAACTACCTTGATCTCAGTGTTAACTCTGTAACTTAACTGACCCTATAACCTTGGATAAATTACTTAATCCCTCTGTGCCTCAGTTTTTTCATCTGTGAAATGGAGATGACTTCCAACCTCATGAGGTTGTTCTGAGGATTAAGAGTTAATGCAGCCCTAGCCGGTTTGGCTCAGTAGATAGAGTATCGCTCAAGGACTGAAGGGTCCTAGGTTCAGTTTCGGTCAAGGGCACGTACCTCAGTTGCAGGCTTCATCCCCAGCCCTGGTCGTGACAAGTGCAGGGGGCAACCAATTGATGTGTCTCTCTCACATCGATGTTTCTCTCCCCTTCCCTTCCACTCTCTAAAGATCACGGGAAAAATATCCTCCGGTGAAAATTAACAACAACAAAAAAAGAGTTACTGCATATGAAACCTTTGGAACAGTGCCTAGAACATACAAAACACTCAATAAACATTGCTCATTATGAGATCTAGGTCAACTTCATGCCCAATACTTCCCATCAGTTCCCTAACTCAGTGCATTTCACAAGGGCATCTGCGCTCTAGAGCTCATCACAAAGCTGAAATCTATTTCCTTGAAACTTCTATCTTCTACTTCTATTCTGGAACAAAACTTAGTCTCTCATGCCCTTCAAATTGGGGAAGTCCAACCTATTTTCAAGCTAACCATTCCATACCACTTCAATTAGCCTTCACATCTCCAAATTCCGGACTCACCATCCTTGTCCCAGTACCTGCAAATGCTTGTGTACCAGTGGCCAACTTAAAATATGGCATCCAGAATTTATACCACATCATGCCCTACATTTTCTCAGCATTTCCACACTCACAATCACCATCAGCTTAGAGATAACAAAATTGAGGCTGAAGACACTTGCCCAAAGAAAGTCAGTCAATCAGAGACTCGAACCAAAAATGTTTCTTCTAACTATTAGACCAGCAAAGACCAGCAGTACAAGTGCTACCTTCTATGACTAGTGAAAGGGACCAAAGGTTTGCCATCCCAACATATACTTTTGGGGCTATTTTAAGCTGGTTATTTTTAAGAAACAAGACTCAGATTGAACCTTTGCCCCTCCTCCTTAACTGTCTAAAGGAATTCAGATGGCAAAGCCTGTTTAGAGGAAGGGAGCATCACCTTAGCATCATAATAGAGATGAAATGTGGCAGACAGAGAGGAATCTAGCAAAGCCTGTTTGTTGGGCTCCCCTCTGTGTCCCATTGTTTCTGGGTGGCCCAGCAAGAATGCTTACCACATGTTTGCTCTTTCTCAGCTACCTGTAAATTGCCTGCTTTCTCTCTGAAATACCAGACCCTGCCTCCCTCTCCTTAGTCCAAAATAGCATATAAGCCTCACTGCCCAGTCTCATAGCGTTATGTAACCTCCATAGGTACATATTAAGAAACGTGGACATTTTCTCCTATTAATCTGTCTCATGTTAATTTGATTTTTCGCCTAATCAGAAGAACTTAGAAAGATGGAAGGAACTTTTTTTTTTGCGCCCCCACACTAGTAAAATGGATTTCTGTCAATGCCACCTCCACTAACTTCTTTATTAGAAGCCATTGCTAAAACACAGCAAGCTTGGAATTAACTAAAAGGCCTTAATCTTTTGTACATGAATCTTTATGAATCTCTAACAAGCAAGATCTGCTTTTCCATCCCAACTTAATGCAGGACTAGAATGTGTCTGATTTTAACGTATTTAAAACCATTTTTAATCTTGCTTTCTTTGAACTTCTGAACTGGTTTTTACTTAGATTTAGGTCATCCCAATTTTCCCTTTACTCAGGACACTAAAAATGCTTATCAGGCCAAAGCCAAGGCCAAAGAATAACAAAGACCTGCCTCCAGGAAGACATGCATCAACCCTAATGGGGTGCCACAGTTTATGCAGCCCAAGTCCCTCTACCTTAAACACAGGTAATTAATGAAACACTCTAAACCACCTTGCTCAACTCAAAATATACTCACTTCAGCTACACTCCTTTGTCTTAGAAGTCAAATAAATAAAGATTAAAACTTTAGTTTTGAGTAACTTATTAGTGACTTTATGTCGGTCCCTAATGATCAGCATGTTCATTTTTTTCTTTTAAATACTCACCTACCAGCTGTTAATATGGCTAATAATCTTCCTTTAAAATTTAACTGAGCACCAAACAGACATTTGTCTAAGAAAAATATACAAATAGCCAAAGGCACATGAAAAGATGTTCAACACCATTAGTCATCAAAGTAATGCAAACAAAGCCACAATGAGATGCTCCGTCACACCTACCAGGACAGCTAGAATCAAAATGTCCCACAAGAACAAGGGTCGGCATGGAGAGAGTGGAGCCCTCAGGTAAATACCCAAGAGAAATGAAAACATATATCCACACAGAAGCTTGTACATGAATGTTTATAGCAACATTATTCGTAATAGCCACAAACTGGAAATAACCTACATGCCCATTAACTGATGAGTGGACAAACAAAAACCATACAATTCAGCCACAACCAACAATGAAGTACTAGTACATGCTACACTATGAGTGAATCTTGAAAACATTATGCTTGGTAAAAGAAGCCAGTCACAAAAGACCACATGTGATGATTTCAATTATATGAAATGTTCAGAATAGGCAAATCTATAGAGATAGCAGAGTATTGCTTGCTGGGGGCTAGGGGCAGGTACTTGGGGATGATAGCTAAAAGGGCAATGGTTTAATTTTTGAAGTGATGAAAATGTTCTAAAGTTGACCGCAGTGATGGTTGCACGTACCTGTGAATATACTAAAAACCACTGAATTTGAAAGAGCGAGGGCTATGCCCTCCATCTTGCCCCGTACCCTCCATGTTGGGGCAGCAGCCATGTGCTCAGGAGGGTACCTTCTTCCCGGAAGCCCAGGCCTCTGCTGGCCACGCCTGGGATTTCTTTAAACTAACCAATGACAATCAAGGGACGTGTGCCCCATAGAGATGACCACATCCTGTGTAACAAGACCCGACTTGCGCCTGGCCAATCGGCAGGGCCCACAGTCAGCTCCCCTCCCCTCACTCCACCCCCTATTAAAACCCTGTTTTTCTCACGGCGTCCTCACTCTGCCTTCTGTCGCTGCGTCGGCCAGGAGGGGGAGTCGAGCTAGCTCAAATAAAGGACCCTCTGCTTTTGCATCGGACTGGCTGGCTCCCTGGTGTGGTCTTTTTGGGGATCTTGAAATCTGGGCATAACAAAGCGTGCATTTTAAATGGGTGGATGGCATGATATGTAAACTACATTTCAATAAAGCTGTTGTTTTTTTTAAATACCTCTAAGAAAACAAGAGATATTTCTCTTTTTCTTAGATAAAACATTAGTCAGACTAAACTGTGTATTTATACACTCAGCTACACATGTAATATGTCCGACAGGGCTAAAGATCATGATCTATTCATATCAAGCATCTCTAAAGACATAGAAGTGTCAAAACACGAATAATCCTCTAATTGTCCAGCTGATGGACTTTATCTTTGACATAAACACATCTGTATCTACAGTCACAAAATGAAAACAATATAAATTCAATGAGACTTTATCAGAATGACTTATTTGAATAGCCAACTCAAAAAAATAACAGAATACTATACTATGAATTAATGAAAGATGAATGCAATATGGCTCAATATCAAAACCAAGAGTTTTGGTTTTTGTTGGATATGTTATTGAAGCACAACTCAGTAGTATCAAACAGGTAACTTAAATACCCATGGTATAATTTAGGATTTAACACGTTTTTGAACAATTGAACACTTGGATTTGATATACTTTAGTAACACCTAACTTTTCCCTGAAAGTTTGAACATCTTTAAGAAAAGATTACCCCAAATTAACTAATTATTGAAAAGAAACCTTCTGTTTTTCAGAAATACTATACCATGCTTCTTCACTTCGGCTAAAATAGATTTATTTAGACTTGGTGCCCAAATTTCCAAAACAATGAAATGAAGTGTAAAATTTCTGATAAATAAGCTTGGAATAAACCTGTTTAAGTATTTATAACACTTATAATAATGTAAAGCATTATTCTTTCAATGGTGTTTTACAGTGTACAAAAGACTTTCTATCTACAAACTTTTATTCCCCAATCATATCAACGGACAATATTTTTAGCATCTTTGGTCCACTTCACTACAAGTAATTCCAAAGCGTTATTCAAGAGTCCAAATACTGCCAGAACCGGTTTGGCTCAGTGGATAGAGTGTCGGCCTGCGGACTGAAGGGTCCCAGGTTCGATTCCAGTCAAGGGCATGTACCTTGGTTGCTGGTACATCCCCAGTGGGGGGCGTGCAGGAGGCGGTTGATCAATGTGTCTCTCTCATCGATGTTTCTAACTCTCTATCCCTCTCCCTTCCTCTCTGTAGAAAATCAATAAGACATATTTAAAAAAAAAAAAAGAGTCCAAATACTATGAGCTTCTTGAGGGCGGGGGCTGTGCCTCCTCATTCAAGTCTCCACCCACCAAATCCTATAACCTGTGCTCAATAAATGTTTGGAGAATGAGTAGACGAATAAACAGATAAATGCTGTTATCAGCTATGTGACCTTGAAGAAGCCACTTAACTTCTAGGAAACTTATTGTTTCCTCATTTGTAAAATAAGAAATACTGACTCTGTCACACAGGGTTGTCAAGAATCAACAGGCAAAATATAAGGGAGTACTTTGCAAACCAAGGAACCATACAAATATAAGCTAACCATTCCCCCCATTTAAAGTGTCTTCATTAATATCTTCTAGCTTAATGATGTCTCCAGATATTGCCTAGTTTTCTTTCTGTCCATAAGCAAATACTCAGCTGCTAGACATATATTATACATTATCATCAGAAATATTATTCACATTAAGTAATGTTTCTCAAAACAAATCAGCATATATAAGTTAAAGTTAAAATGAGAATCTGTCTATTGTAAGTTAACATTCCACAAAGTTATTTTATGTAAAATAAAAGTTTAACTCACCGCACATTTTTCCACTTTGCCAGCATTATTAGCCCATTTCACTAAAGCTAGTAATCGCACAAAGAGTTGACGTGTCCGGCTAGCAAACTGTACTATTTCTATTTTCCTATAAAAATAAAACAATTCTTAATAAATCAGCATATTTAAAAGAGAACTTCAGTTTATTTAATCTGAGCTAAAGTATGACTCAATCTTTGTTTAAAACCATTACAACAAAATGAGAACCACTTAAAATATTTATCTAAATACATATAAATTATTGCTGTTTTATATACCACCTGCATATGCTTTATTATCTGTCATAAATCTAAAAGAATGTTTTAGCAATAAATCACATTTAAAAATTAATTTTATATTGCAATAAAAGTTGTTTGCTAAAATATAGTAAATTCACAGATATAAAGTTACTATATAGAAATTAACTGGGTCACATAGGGGACCAAATTAGGAATTAGGAATTTTATAATTGAAATTATGAGTTATGCATTAGTAACCTTTTGGTAAGAGGAAAGAATTGAAATAGAGCTTGCAACTGTATTATTCCTACAAAAGCAGGGCACAACTTAAAAAATTAAATAATAAAAGAATTTAGCCATGCAACTCTTTACCAAACGAATGATAAACTTAGATATTAAATTAGCCAAGCACAGAAAGTTGAGTACTAAAAGTAAAAGCTAGGTCTGTCCATATCTATTTTTATTCTATACCCACTACAACCCTTTTTCTCTCAATACTTACTCATCACTGTTTTTATCATCTCCTTATAGAGTGTTTAAAGCTTAATTAAAGGCTTTATGTTGTCAATCAATGTGTTAGCTAGACCTCTCAACTGCATGTCATCTACAGAACTGACAATCATACCTCCCATGGTTTACCTAAGACACTGAAAACATACATATTCGACAGGCCAGGACCAATGACAGGAGCCAAACAGCACACCAACCTCTCTCCAATTGGATTCTGACCTGTTAATCTTAGTACAGCTGTTCAATGACCTGCAGATCCAATCCATATCTCTGCATCTTGCCAACACCAATACCATGGTACGATGCACCAAAATGAAATTTTTGCTGAAGTATAATCCTGATTGAAGACTATAGAGTCTAGCTCCTATCAAGAGCACACATATGCCCGAACAGTGTGGCTCAATGGTTGAGTCTTGACCTATGAACCAGGGGATGACGGTTCAATTCCCAGTCAGGGCACAGGCCTGGGTTGTGTGCTTGATCCCCGTGAGGGGCGTGCAGGAGGCAGCTGATCCAATATTCTCTCTCATCACTGATGTTTCTCTCTCTCTCTCCCTTCCTCTCTGAAATCAATAAAAATGTTTAAAAAAAAAAAAAAGAGCACACGTAGCCCACAAATAAGCTGACAGGCTTTCTTAGGAATCAGCCAGCGATGTTGTTGGAAGTATAAAGAGAAGAATCAAGGGGGCAAGTCCAGGTGTGACTTTCTGCCAGTGAGGACCCTAAGAGAGAAAATCAGCAGAGCTTCACAGGCCAGAGTGGGCCACCGCAGAAATGGCAGATGTGCATTATGATCTGGCAGCCACCTCAGTGCCAGGAGCCTCAGTACTGACTGTCACTCGAACTCTGAACGGCTTACAGAGGACGTGAGTCTCTGCTCCTCTTCCGGAACAAACCGTGTGTTAGTAATGCGGATTCCCAAATGAGCGCCTCTCCTAGAAAGAGGACACCCCCCTTTGCAAAAGATTGTCTCAAGGGGTGGGTTTTCCAGAGCCCTTCCTACCCGAGAGTGGACAGCACAAATCCTGACTTTCATTTTCATGTCCCTCCTTTACAACTGGCCAGCCAAACCGTAACACAGGCACGCTTCAATTTTTTTTCACCTCTTTTTGATCTATGTCTAATTTTATCAGAAAGGTCGGTGGAGGGTAGGGGGGAGAGTGTAATCATTAATAAAGGCTAAAATCCTCTCCAGTGACTTGGTATTTAAAAAAAAAATAAACTAAGGAGCATAAGAAGTGCCAAAAATATAGTCAAACAGCCTATGCTATAGCCATAATATCTCCATCACAAAATTTCTTTGAAACAGTAATTTATCTTGCTCCTTTGGCTTATGGAAACATAATAGTGTTTAGTTGTATCCTCAAACTGCAACTGAATCAAAATTCAACTCTAAAACAGCAACAATAGTAGACAAATGTCAAGCGTCTAAAGATATCTAATTGCATCATTGTAGCAAATGGTAAGCTAGCGGCCAACTTTTAAAGCCAGTTTATTCCTTAGCTTCTTCTATTGTTTTACATCTTCTCAGGGGCTTGAACTGGTCAGTGACTTTAAAAAGGTTTCTAAAGCCCTGACTGGCTTGGCTCAGTGGGTAGAGCGTCGGCCTGGGGACTGAAGGTTCCCGGGTTCGATTCCGGTCAAGGCCATGTGCCTTGGTTGCGGGCACATCTCCAGTAGGGAGTGTGCAGGAAGCAGCTGATGGATGTTTCTCTCTCACCAATGTTTCTAACTCTCTATCCCTCTCCCTTCCTCTCTGTAAAAAATCAATAAAATATATTTTTTTAAAAAGGTTTCTAAAACTTAAGGTCCAGAGCTGGTCTCACACCAAGAATTGTCAGGGATGAAGAAATCACAAAGAAATGATGTGAAAAAAATCACCCCCGACTCTCTGGGCCTAGGTTTCCGATCTGCAGCACTACCCTCCAGGCCAATGCCCACTTTCACTCTCTCATACACACACATACACACACATACTCACAGATATAGCAGCACAGACACAGCTTTAAGGTTTTTTTCATACTCACCTTTCCACATCAGATTTCCTTGGCAGTCTAAGAAGAAAAAAAGAAATTGACTAAATATATGCACACCTTCATTAAAGTGATAATAGTCTTTACTTTGACTCTATTAAACACCTTAGGATTCAGAAAAACTAGATAAACAGGCTTGTGTGGCTACCAACTCTTTCATAAGTTTCCAGCAATACGGCTATAAGGGAAAAAACTAACAAAGGAGCATTTTTCTCCATTCAGAATGCTTCAAAAGGTATTGCATGAACCTCAGACATTTATGAAGCCCAAGCCTTCCATTAGCAGACTATAGCAGAGAGTCAGAGAAAACGTGACTTTAAGGTTAAAATGGTCACAGATGCAGAGGCCTCCTCGGCTGCCAGTCTGCCCGGATCCAGTGGAACAGTCGCTCCCCAGCACTGGTCCTCCCTGTTTTGTTATGGTGGGCAAAGCTGGAAGCTGAGCACACAAAAGAGCCAGTGTCCGCAAGGGTTTCGCAGTAATTATGCTGCTGCACGTGAGTAGATGTAAATTATTTATATTACTTTTAAACCGCTCCAGTAAGGTTCTGATTCTTTGTCATTTCTTTTTTTTTTTTTTTGCTGGTTCTCCAGTACTGATAGCCAGCAACCAATGTCACCATCTCCCCTGACCGTTTAGCACTCTCGCACCCACAGATGCTGTTAGAAAGGTCCTGATCTGCCTCCTGAATCGCCATGCTCTGTACACCTTTATCCCAGGGTCCAAGATGCAATGGCCTAAAGCCTCCCCTGACATTTCATCATTCTTGAAGAATACACACCAAGACCCTTAGATCCTCTTCTCCCACCCACATGCCACAGGTACAGAAAAACTAAGACCACGAGGGAAAACTATTAAAATAAGCCCTGGCTTACAGTTACCCACAATTCCTATGGTAGACAGTGGGATGGAAGCTGAAGATAGCGTCCAAGTAATAAAGGAAACTAGGTAGGTGCTGCAAGAACAAGCAGACCAGAGGATGAAGCAGAAAGTAAGGCTTTATTGGAAGACCGGAAGTAAAAGCAGCTGTTGAGTTCCTCTACATGTGGAAGTTCTTGAGAACAGTCCCCCTGTCCTCAAGGGAAGGAGAGAATAAGAACCACGGTGCAAGAGGGACAGAAAAGAGTAGAGCCTTTGGGGGAGAAAGCACAGGAATCATTGCTCCAGCTCTCCCACCTGCCCCTAAAAGGATCATCCCATGTCACAGGTGGTGTTATTTCAGGGACAAAGGACAGGCTTTGCTGCCTACAACACCCTGCCCCCCCAATTCCTCCTAATCTATTTTACATTCCTTTACAGATAACAAATCCACCATTTGAGGCAAAAGCCTTTTTTAAAATGCTAATTTTTGGAAATGGTAAGTCAGAAACTTATACCTAAATGTGGGGTAAGTTTACAAAACTGAAATTCTAGCATTTTCTAATTTTAATTTAAAGAGGTTTAAAAAGTCAAGGCAGGGTATAAATTATA